AAGCATGATATCCTTCTCCACGGACTGGCACCTCCCCACAACATGCCCAAGGTATGTGAGGTGGAGTTTCCAAATTCTTGATTCACAAGAACAAACTGGTTTTATTCTCTCCAAGAAAGACCTCCTTATTTGTTCTGTTGGCAGTCCATGATATGTTCAATACTCCTCTCCAGCAACAGAACTCAAAGGCATCAATTCTTCTTCTGTCATTCTTATTAATTCTTCAGCTCTCAGATGCAAAGCAATTTAGAAGATTGAGAAGATCACGGATGTCTATGGGAGGTCATTAGTCTGCCTTCCACAACTATTAGTGTGATTGTTGTCCTAACCAAAAAATTAGAGGCTAGTCGGTCATGCCTTGTCTGTGGAGAGTTGCACTGCTAACACAAAGCTGTGCCTCTCTGGAGGTTTGAATCTACCAATAACTCCCCAGATAGGCAATCTTTCTCAGAAATCCAATAATCACCCCTGGGTCAATCCTGCCTTGATGGCAATGAGAAAAACAAATGGATGAGTAGGCCTTGTAAGATGTCTTGGTGGTGTGTGTATAACAAGCTGGGCTGCCAACCGCAATACTGTTGGTTTTATTCCACCAGATGCTTCTCTGGAGAAGTATGGGAAGTCTTCTCTGGTAAATTCTCTGGTAAAGATTTATGGCTTTAGAAATCCAATTGAGGATTGCTTTTGAGTTGATAGCAACTTGACTTGGCGACACTAAGTGAATTTGAATAGGTCATGCACCAAGTTTTATACAAATCTCTCTATCTTGCACTTTTTCTCCTGCTCACCATCTCCGTTTCTCCTATGTCCTCATAAGTTATTATTTACTGATCTACCAGTTACTTCTTGAACACCTACTACAAAGTGTTGAATGTTTTGGGACGAGTGAAAGAACAGTCAAGAATGTCTGCACAGATTTTTCTTTCTCCTCTCTTCTTCTTTTTCTTTCCCCTTTCCCTTTTCTTTTCTTCTTTCCCCTTTCTCTTTTTCTCTCATTCTCACTTTCTCTCCCCCTCCATCCTTTCTCCATTTTATCTTTCTCCTCCCTCTCTCCTTTTATTTCTATCATGGTATTCATTCTCAAATTCTACTTGATTTTCCAATGTTGAGACATCTCTAGTGTCAAGACTTAAGGCAAATGAGAAAAATAGTCTCATGTTGATTTGGAGGAAAGAGTTTACCAGTGAAAGGAATTTACAGATGAAGGGAAGTCTCGAAGCTTGAGCATGCCCTATGCCTTGGAAGAACAGACGGAGAGGACAGTGACAAGTGCTGGGGTAAAGAGCTCAGAAAAGTTGTGGACCTGCTCATGCAAAATCTCACTGGCTGCTTATGTTCAGGAGGGTTCCCAGGAATCCAACAGTGGCCTGGAATGAGTATCTTAAACTGTTGTTTCATAACAAGCTAATCTGGATGTGTAAATAGGGAGTTCTGGTGTCATAGTCCATTAGGAAGTTGCACTGTTAACCCACAGAGTGCACCTCTCTGGTGGTTCGAATTCACCAGTGTCTCCCTCTGAGAAAGACAGGCAAGCTCCTCTAGTAGCGTTTATAGCACAGAAAACCCAGTGAGGGTCAGTTCAAAGTCTGATCCAACATGACAATAGAGAGCTGAGTTGACTGCTATTGATAGATTATTTCAAGACTTAAGAAAGGACACTGGGAAAAATGCAGATAAAGGTAGGTGTCTGTCGGGATTTACCAGAATCTTTGTGAATGATTGAAGATTCTTCAAACAATTCTCACCAAAGAGGAAAATAGCCACCCAGAGGGCACAATTGCATCTCCATCAAGGACAACTAGAGAGAGGTGTCGCTCTCCAAGTCCCATGTAGCTCTCTATTGACTGATGGGACAAATGGGACTCCCCCTTACTCCTTCAGGGTTTGGGACCCTCCACACATACACACGTACACATATATTCTGCTGATGGAACAAACAGAGAACAGCAAACTCCAGAACTCCTGCTGGTCCCAGATGGCCAGAATGGAGACCCTGCCCCCAGCCCGGCAGGGAGGCAGGAGAGCTGGAAGTAGTCACTGCCTCACAGACTCATTCTCCCCTGGATTTCCTGCCTCCTTCCTTTGCCAAGCTTCACTTCTGAAAAGCCAGGCCTCACCTCCTCCGAGTCAAGTCAGCTGCCGAAAGAAATCTGATTTCATATCAGACGGTAGCAGATTAGTTTGTTGGATTGTACGTGGGTCTCGAGAGGAAGCCTGGGCCTCCCATTAGTGAGCTCTGCCTTCGAGAGCTGGACGTGGGCTGGGGAGGAACTGACCAGAAGGCGCTGGCCCCGCCCTGCGTCCACGGGGACAAACAACTCCAGTGTGCACTGTGGGGTGACCCCATCTGGGGGGTTGTTTCCTGTGTTCTCTATAACCTGGATGTATTGCTCATGGTTTGATCATCTTCAGGTGGGAGATGTGACAAGCTGAGCGGCCAGGACCACTCCTGCGCACATAGACGGACAGGCAGCTGAAAGAGGCTTTTGTCTCAAGGCCCTTCACTTCACGTCAGCTGGGCGAATGCCCAGGAGCAACGCACAAGAGAAAAAAACCAAGGAGCCTTCCGGCTCCTCACCGAGTGGATCCGGTACCGAAAGAGAGAGAGAGAGTCACCAGCCCAAATTAGCAGCTATGTCATTTCCATCATCTAGACAGATAATGCTGCAAAACACATTTTGTTATCCACAGCAAGGAAATGTTTCTGAAGTTAAATAATTAAGATGCATATTATTTAGTAGTAAGTAATAGTCAGAGGAGGAAGAAGAAGAGAAAGAAAAGAAGTAGCATATTCTTTTGCAAATGACTAAGAGGAAACGGTGAGGAATGTTTCCTATCAGAAGCTTAAGTAATGGAAAAGTAATTATTTAATAAAAAAAAAGCAACTGAAAGATAGAGAAGTGAGGCAACTACGGACTGTTGTGTTCACTTTATTTCTCCTGTTTTTTGTACACCTTCAGAACTATTCCCTTGTTCTGGATAATGAAATGTCTCCGCAGAATTATCTAACAAGGTGATGGAAATGACATAGTTGTTAGAGAGTAGAACTACTTGTCAAACATCTGTCACACAAGACTGTGTATAATGTATAGACAGATGTGATGATTGCCATGTGCTTCACTCTGATTATAATATATATGAAATGTATGACTTCTGATAACCTTCTTATCCTTACTTGGAATATAGATTTGATTTTTAATATTTCAGAAGGCTTACTCTTACAGGTAGAGTGAGAATGTTCTATGCACAGTAAAGTCTAAGGACAACCTGTATATTCTCACATGCTTCGGCATATGTTTTGAAACTCCATCATGAAAAATATTCCCCACCGAAATAAATTTTTTCATTCATATCCAAAATCCAGGGGCTACCAATCACTTACCAGTCACACAACTGGTATGAATAATCTAAGATATTATTGGTGGGAACCACGGGAAGAAAAAAAAATGGAGAAATGAGAGCTATAGTTTAAGAGTTGAAGTCTCTTAAACTTTATATATATTAGTTTATTAATAAACTGCACTGAGTTTATAGCTTTGTTTACAAATGATTGTAAGTTTAAAATCTTTCAGGGAAAGGAACAATAATCCTCTGCTAATAATAGGCTAGATATGCAGTGTTCATAGTAGCATTATTCACCTTCACAAGAACAAACAAGCAGCCCACATGTCCTACTACAATCAAATGGATTGAGAAGTTGTAGTACATTCATACAATGGAATACTATGCAGCATGCAGGAGCAATCATTTTGTAAATTACTACCTAACTTGGGAGGGACTGGTCAGCATTATGCTGAGTGAAAGAACTCAGTCCCACAAGGACAAACACTGTACAAAACCATTACTGTAGAATGTGTATGAGGATTCAAGGTGCAGAAGAGGGTGGAAATAGAGGGTTAAGGATCGGGGAGTAGGGTGTTAATTATACAGTTGCACAATTCAGTGAGTGGGTCGGTGGGGTGAAGAAAATGGGAAGGATCTTTTGGAAAAACAATGTATTCAAACTTTGTAAATAAATCAGAATAAAAGAAAAAATAATCAGAAGTGGTAAAAAGAAAAAAATAGGCTAGATGCGGCTATTCACTGGAAAGAGATATCAAGGTTGAAAAAAATTGAGGGTCCATGAAGGAGAAGAACCCCCAACAAGATAGATTGACACAGTGATGGAAGCAATGGGCTCAAGTGTATCAGAGATGATGAGGACATCTCAGAATAGGACAGGGTCCAGATTTGTTGCCCATAGGGTCACTATGAATCATACTCAATAACACCTAACAATAACAGTAATAATAGTTTGGATGTCCCTACATCCACTATAATTTAGCTTTGGATGTTTGATAGATTATTTTCATTAATAAGAGTAAATGAATGATCTAATTTTGACCCAAGAGTTAGCCACAATAAATGAGTAATGTTGCTGAAAAGTAGAAGTGGGAGATGAGGTAGGGATCAAACATCTGAGAGATGAAGTAGGGACCAAATATATGCTTTCATATGTTTTATCTTTTTCCAACCTACCCAGGTTCAGTAATTTCAAATAAAATTTGAAATAAAATTAAAAGCTATCTCTGATTTCAATAGATAAAAGTTAGCACACAAGGATCACAATAAAGCAACCATTTCCTTGCTAAATTAACCACTTCCCAACTGAGAAGAAATTTATACTTTTTAAAGATCTTAAAGCACTTTGAGTATATAGATTTGATTGGCTTTTGCAAATATGTGACAACCCCTGTTTGTTTTACAGCTGAATTAGCTGACTCTCATAAAAAAAAGAGAAAGATTTGCTGTAGATTCTGTAACTATCTAGAAATGAAGGTATCTTTAGAAGCCATATCCTAGCATGCCTAGACAAGGGCTCTTTCAGCCATACTTGTTACAAACACTTCTGTGACAATTTAGTCTTCCCAAGGCTCCCATGTGGGAACTAAAGAAAATGTCTGGAGCTAACTCATGAAAAACCAGCTCAAGGGTTCCAATGATCAAAGACTCTTGGTTACCTGAGATGTGGTGGCAGTTTGAACCTGTTACGCACGTCGTCGAAGCGGTTGCCCAGGTAAGGAGTGTCCACTGTCACAAATACGGCCTTGTAGCCCATCCTCTCAGCCCGTCGCACAAGCTGCTTGGTTACTTCACGATCCTTGTAGATGTAGAGTTGCAGCCAGCGAAGCGTATTAGGACCAGCCTCTGCCACTTCTTCAATTGAGGAGGTGGCCCAGGAACTCAGCATCATGCCAGTTCCCAGCGATCCACAGGCTGAGGAGAAAGGACAGCTCAGTATAGGCCTCGCCATTTCTCCACCTCAAGTGTTTTTATTCCAGTTCAACAGGAAAAAGTTTCTACAAAGGTAATCTGGAAACATGAATTTGAAACTTAAAATAATTGGAAATATTCACTTTCCCAGACTCTGACTTGACTCTTAAAATAAAAATTAGTTCAATAAAAATTTATGTCCTATATACAAGAGTGAAATTGGTTAAACTCAAGCTCAATAGAAAAAAAAGTGTATATAATCATTAAAGCTAATATGATAAAATATATATTTGGATATAGATTTTCAAGATCTTAAAGATATGTGAAACACAATATGAATGAAGGAAATTGTGAAACACAACATACACAAATTTTGTATTCGTATAAATATAAAATAAACTTTTTAAATAATATAATAAAGTTTTTGTCCATTAAAAACCAAAAAGATTTAAACACCCATATTTAGCATAATTCTATATTGTAAAAATATTGATACTTATATAAGAACCTAAACTAGATGCTTATAATGGACAATAGATTTGTAGGTTGTTTAACTCTCTATTGATTTTTAATTGTTTCTGTCTTTATCTTTTAAAGTATTATCAATGATTAATATTCTATTCTTTATCTTTTTAATTTTTACAAAAAAATATACTCTACATAGCTCAAGTAGATAGAAGTTACTGCCAATCCTTTTGGTGAAGGACCTAACAAAGAAGAAAATAAACTAAACATTAGACTAATTTATCTAACCAATTGTTTTAAAGGACTTCAAATAATGGAACTTACAGGGTTTGCACCAAAAATATGCAGTAATATTGGAGTTAGATTTAGTGGTAGAAAATACACTAGTCTGTCATAATCCCAGGCACCAGGTTGAAGGGAACACTTTCTCTCTGGTAGTCATGGAGAACAACCTTTGTCTGTGAGCTTGTGTCTAAGCCTGTCTCAATGTGGTGTAGTGTACATGCTCAGATAACAAACCAGATCTATGAAAATCATGGAGGGCCCATCTGAGGCCAGTGGCTTTGTGACAGGATGGGGCTATGCATGGTAGGTGCTACAGGTTCCGGTTGAGGCACATGACTGGCACGGCAGGATCATGTTCCAGGTGAGATCAATGTCTAGGCTGGATCCGGCATGCTAGTGCTCCAGGATCAAGATGCTTCCTTCTGTTGCCAATGCTTTCTTGCTCTAAACTTGGAAACTTCAAGGAAGAGCTAATGCATGGAATTGAGACTTGAAGCCATGAAAACTGTGAGATTTAAGTGTCAGAGTATTGTATAATCTACATATGTTAATTACATTCTACTTAGGCATTTACATTATTGTTTGTTTAGCATTGTTTTTATTAGTACAGCACTTATCTGTCAGTGTGCTGCACTAGCATAACTTGTATGTTGCTGTGATGATAAAAGCTGTGAGACTGGTGAGTCAAATGCCAGAAGAATCATCCATGGTGGACAGATTTTAGCCGAGCTCCCAGATTAAGATAGACTAGGGGCAGGATTGCTCATCCATTTCTTAAAAAGTAGGCTTCTGAAAATCCTATGAACAATACAGAAATATAGATACAGTATTAGAAAAAACACCCAGATTGAAAGTCAATAAAAGTGAGATGAAACAGCTGCAAACATCCTTTAATAGTTAGAACATGGACTGTATGTAGTATGAATGTTGGAAAACTAGAAGTTGCGACAAATGAAATGGTATGCATAAAAATTAACTTTCTAGGCATTAGTGAGGTGAGATGGACTGGCTTTGGTGGCTCTGGATCAGATAATCGCATAGTGTATTCTACTGGGAATAAAAAAACCCAGAAGCATAGCATTGCATTCATAGTTAAATAAGACAATTTCAAGTTCTATCCTGAAGTACAATATTGTGAGTGATACAATAGTATCCATATACATATAAGGAAGACCTGTTAATATGACTACTATTCAAATATATATGTTAAGTGTCACCAAGTCATAGATGAGTCACAGTGACCCTATGAATGAAAGACCTGAACCCTTTCATTGTTTCTCCAAGTTCATAGAGTTTCTGGAGGCAAGCTATTTTGGAAGTGGATGCCACTCTTGCTTCCAAGCTTGTTTTAATCAGGGAGCTCTACCAAACACTGTCCACCATGGGTTACCATTATCACATTTGATACATCAGTGTCACAGTGTTTAGGATCACAGCAACCACAAGTTACCTCTGTACAGGAAATAAACAGACTAGTGCTATACCACTTAGAAGAATATATATACCAACAGCTAAAGCGAAAAAAAAAGAGAAAATTGGCCCTTTTTACCAAATTTTGTAATCCAAAATTGACCAAACATGCAAACTAAGATACATTACTGATAATCGGTGACCAGAATGCAGAAGTTGGAAGCAATGAAGAAGGAATGGTATAGTAGGTTGGAAAGTACAAACTTAGTGACAGAAATGAAGCAGGAAATAGAAATACTGAATTTAATACATACAACAATTTATTCACCACCAAATACATTTTTAGAAAAATTACAAATAATGACTTTACACATGAAGTGCCTAAGAGTCAGATTGACTATATCTGTTGTAGGAATCTTTGTAAAAGCTCAATATTAGTAATCAAAATCAGGCCAGGTGCTGACTATAGAACATACTGTAAATTACTCATATGCAAGTACAAATTAAAGCTGAAGAAAATTAAATCAAGTTCAAAAACCAAAATGTAATTTTGAATCTCTTCTACTTGAATTTAAAAATAGTCTTAAGAATAGGTTATGCCAATGCTTCTATCCCCAGACTCACACCTTGATATTAAAATAATATCAAGAAGGAAATTTGAAGGGTCTTTTGTAAAAAAATAATGTATTCAAACTTCACAATTCGATGGGTAGGGGGTGAAGGAAATGGGAAGGATCTTTTGTGAAAAACAATGTATTCAAACTTTAAAATAATATCAATAGATTTTGTTTTTATTATTATTGGACAGAGAGTGTCTAGTACCTTGTTAAAGCACCACAGGTTAGAGTCTCTTCTAAATGATCAAGCCTCTTCAATGTGTTAATTGCTAAATATTCAAATATCACCTTTGTCTAAGAGAAAAAGATATAGCCTTTCATCTCACACTATTTCGGGGGACAAAAATTACAAACATTAAAATGTTATTGTAAAAAGAGCAAGGGCAATTTGGGGGTGGCTATAACTGACCCTTACCAATTCCACAAAGGTGAACTGTCCCTGTCAATAACATCAACAACACAAAACCAATTTCCCTATCAGTCGTCCTCCCACACTCCCACACCCCTTTCTATTCATCTTAACACCAATCTTACTGAGTACAAAATCCATTGCAATTGCTCACAGGCCACACAGAATTATTGTTAGAGAAGTCAAAAAGCTTTAATTCAGGTTAATAGAATACAATTTCTTAGTCAGGGAAGCTTAAAAATTATGCTCACAAGCACCTTAGTTTTTAACCTAATAATTTTATGCTCTTAGTGCTGCCAATTATGGCTCTCCCCTTCCTCCAGCCCTCCAAAAATATTCAGCAAAAATCTCTTAGATCTGAATTTGAAGGATAACAACTCCAAGATCTGCTTCATCTTATATCAGGTCTGTGGTTCTATGACGCTGGCTGCTATTGCTGCTAATTGCATAGACCCTGGTCTGGCTGCACAAGAATTTCTGACATCAAAAGATGCATTGCATTCTCTTGCTGCTTATTTGCCAGTGGTGAGATTCTCCAAATCTGCTCTTGGATCTGCTCAATCCCATTATGGATATGCTAACACATCCTATTCGCATATTCCTACCCATCCAAACTCAAATGGCTAAGAAAGCCATTTTGAACAATATACTCTTTAGACCATAGTTATATATTACATAATATTGAGGATTAAATCATATGCCTATAAAAAGATGTGTTGCCCACTATCACCTCTCCTATTCAATATTAGCGATAGCAATAAGACAAGACAAAGAAATCAATAGTATTCAAATTGGCAAAGAGGAGGTGAAATTATCTCTGTACATATATGATATGATAGTATACTTAGTACACTTAGAAAACCCTAAAGATTCAGAAAGAAAACTACTGGACATAGTTGACCAATTCAGCAAAGTGGCAGGATACAAAATCAACATACAAAAACCAATTGGATGCCTCTACAGTGACAAAGAGATAACAGAACTGGAGCTTAGAAAAACAATATCCTTCACAATTGCTAATCACAAGATTAACTATCTGGGACTAAATCTAACCAGAAGTACAAAGGAAATTACAAAACATTACTACAAGAAACAAAAAGAGACCTGGAGAAGTAAAAGAATATCCCTTGCTCATGCATAGGAAGACTCAATGTTGTGAAAATGACAATAATACCAAAAGCAATTTACACATTCAGTGCAATCCCAATACAAATTCCATTCTTCAATGAGATAGAGTAGGCTATCTCCAGTTTTATTTGGAACAGAAAGCGGCCCTGAATAAGCAAAGCACTCCTTAAAAAGAGAAATAAGGTAGGAGGCATTTCACTCTCTAATTTCAAATCTTATTACATTGCTGTGGTGGTCAAGACAGCTTGGTACTGATACAATGACAGACATATAGATCAATGGAATAGAATGAAGAATCCAGAAATCAGCCCATCTACCTATGGTCAACTGATTTTTGACAAGGAGATAAAATCAGTTACGAGGGGAAATGACAGCCTTTTTAACAAATAGTGTTGGTAAAATTGGAAAAATATCTGCAGAAGACTCAAGCAAGATCCACACCTCACTCCATACACAAAAATCAACTCAAAGTGGATTATGGACCTAGGACTAAAACCAAGGACTACAAACTTCATTAAAGAAAAGCTTGGAAGAATCCTAGCAGTCCTAATTCACAACATAAACAGTCTTCCATACATTCTGGAAAATCTACAACCAGGAGAGGATAAAATAGATGAATGTGACCTTCTAAGAATCAAATCCTTATGCACATCCAAAAACTTCTCCAACAGGATAAAAAGGGAAGCTAC